ATTCCAGCTTTTATTGAGTAAAAATGGACAAATTTTCCAAATATTATCACTTCTAATCACTTTCAAACTCAAATTCAAAAAGGACGAAGAATAGGACAAAGACTCGGACAAAGCCAATGACCGTTTAGCTTAGGAAATGGTTGTCGTTCTCAAACTAGGCACTTTTCTATTGCCGTTCACAGCGTCCAGATTTTCAATCCCTAACTGTGCTCACTCTGAGACTTTTCTTTCAACTTTTTCTTTCAAATCTTTCAGCGCTGACGTCTTCTCATTATTTCCATTCAAAATAAAACCTTTAAAAGTTGATCTCAAACTTCTCTTCTGTCTATTCATTTATAACCTCTGAATGAATCGTTGCAAATCGTTCAAACCCATTCAAAAACTGTTTGCTCATTCATTCACAAACATAATTATCTAGTTTATGTATTTCAAGAAACAACAAGAAATTTCCTATTTTATTTAGCTAAAAATAAGTTTCATTGAGAATCCCATTGAGAATCGGGCATTCATGAGATGAGGGCGGTCCTTTTCATTCAATTTCCCCCAATTTGAAAATTACCGGTTACTCAAAAACTTTTGAGAACTATGAAGTGTCTTTTGCAGTGTTAAAGGATCACGAATTATGTGTTATTGTTGTTTGTTAGTGTAAGTTAAAAGCTTAAAGCCAAAATCAATATGTTTATAGTTGATTAGAGGAAATTATAGACCTCGTGAAAGCTTTGGTGCTACTTTTGTTCGAAAGTTTACTCAAAAATGAACAAAATTAGTGATTGATCATTTCCAAATTGGATCTTTTTACATTAACATTACCTTATGTAAAAAATTGACTTGAGCAAGTTGACTGAGCAGAAAGAGTGAGTCACAGAAAGAGTAAGTCAACATTTTTAAGCACACAGTACACGGGGAGCGGGTTTTTTTGGTTTCCTATAGAGTTTTGAGTAACAATAGCTTTGTGATCGTTCTTGAATTTGGATTACTTGATGTAATACTTTGTAATAATTTGTATACTTGATGAATTTAACACCAAAGTTCAATAGAAACTTTTTACTTTTCAACAGGAAGTCTATCTTTGATTCTTTCATCGCTTTTTCCTTTAAATAACCCCATCATTGGAGAGTTTTGCGGTAATTGTAGGTTTGGGTGACACTATAGACTCTATCAATAAGGGATTTCCCCAGTATGTCATCAAATAACGAAATGTTTATTCGATTTGCATCTTCTTTTGATAAAAGGAAGTACAATATTTAGTCGTTTTTCTCGGGATGAATGAATTCTCTAATTACAGAGCTCGTAACGGAATCATTCATAGTACAGAAGGGGCATGAGATTTGATTTTCAATCGGTATAAAATTGCATTGCAATTTGAATGTAAATTTCTCAGCTATATCTTCCATTTTTAGTCTCTTTACAGCTCTGAAGCAATTTTAGAAGTCAACACTCTTGTCCCAGTCAACCGCACAGTGACTTAATTAATTTGCTAATCGAAAACGCTTGTAGTCTAGTGTTGTTTCAGAGAACCAAGAATATAGTTGTTTTGTTTGTTTTCAGAGAACCATTTATCCAATTATAAAATCAATACTTTCAAGCAACCTTGATAGAAACTTGGTTTGACAAAGTCGATTCACTCCATTCTATTCGAGAGCAGTTCACTCGATAGCATTTCATTCGAATAGCATTTCATAGCGAAAGCTAACCAAGTTTATGCGAAACAAATAGCAATCTAAATCATTCTATGCACCAGTTTACAGACATTCAACTACTCCAACTAAACGTTCACCGACAATTTGCCGGGTTGTATACAGGGGGTAATTACAGCGACAACTTTTTGGAAAAGTATCTGGCAAATGCCTAACTTATTTTAGAAGTGTCAAGTGTTAAATAAAGAATTGTAGCCCTAATTCTCGGCAACATTTATCTACTAAAAACTTCCCGATTCGACTTATACAACTCATTTAATAAGTCGGCTCATTGAATGAGTGCTAGTCGGCGTCTCTCCGGCGGGCCTGCCATTTTTCACGATTTTCTACATTAAAATTTCATTCGGAAAAGTTTTTTTCAGGCAAGTTTGTGGCAATTTTGCCCGAAAAAATTGTTTTTAATATTTAAAAAATTTTAATTTTAATTTTAATTATGGCGCCAGAACAGCTGATATAACGAGACACGCATATGAACTGAAGATCGAAAATACTCAATTTTCGTCTTTTCCCCTGCTCCTCCAAAAGGAGCTTGACATCAACTTCAATTTTAGCTATACTAGTTCAGCCAAAACAGTTAAGTGCGATTCTTGATGTTATTAATCGAGCTTAAACGCTATTTTTGCATTAAAGAAATATTGAAAAGCTAAATATTGAAAAGCTATTCTTAACAATTTTTAATAGAGAAAAATGACAGATTCGCCGGAGGGATGTCGACTAGCATTCAAGCGCTGGTTAAATGAGTTGTATAAGTCCAATCGGAAAGTTTTTAGTAGATAAATGTTGCCGAGAATTAGGGCTACAATTCCCTATATAACACTAGCTACTTTTGAGATAAATTAGGCATTTTCCAGCTAGTTTTCCCTAAAGTTGTCGCTTAAATTTGCAGTCACCGTGTCTAATATTTTGAGCCAATTGAACTAGTTATCAACTAGTTAAACTAAAATAAGCCTTTTTCTCTGTACCTTATGCCTTTTGCTAGGCTTTTGACAAACAAAATCGTCAAGTTCAACTTTCAAGGAGGAGTAGACTTTCAAGACTTTTAAGAATTATCAGCTTTAGTCTCTGACCGACACCATCACCATTTGGTTGTTAGTCAAGCTTTTTAACAAAAACTGATAACTTTAACAAAAATTGACAGTCTTAATCTTCTAGTCTTCTTGTCAGTTAGCAATCCAATATTTTGTTTAGGCCAAGTGGCTGTGTTTGATGGTAGCTGTTTAGATCTCACGATCCCATCCACTGAATCTGAATCCCTTCCACTTCCACAATGTGAAATTTTTCTAAAATGCAACTTCTTCTATAAAGTTTAAACATTTTCCCTCTGATAACCTGTTAATTGAATTTTGAATCGCCATCTGCTCAAGCATTTCGTCAAAAAAGGAAAAAGAAGAGCGAAAAACTGAAAGATAATTGACGTAACAAACCACCCTGAGGCAGGTGTGAAAATCGGAAGAGAAAAAAAATGGAAACTTTTTATTTACTCCTAGAAAAACGAATAATTAGGGTAATTTGGATTCGTTTAAAAAGAGAGTGTTTAGTTTAAGAGAGTTGCGCAATTGGGACACCCCACAGTGAGGGGAGAGCGGAAGTACCGTAAAGGGGCATAAAGAGATCCTTGTTGGACAGAGGAGGCACTTGATTTGGGAAGATCTCAAGGGGACAATAGGGGACAGCTGAAAAGATTATGGCGGATATATTTGTTCAAAAGAGTTCTTGCTTTCGAATACAAGGTAAAGAGCGATGTACTGTACGTTTGCTCAATACTATTTTGTATAGAAATTTATGCTACAATGACTTTTTACATATAGCGTAAATTTCTAGCTTTTTTAAATCTATGCATAAACCTATTTAGTATAAATAAAACCCACGAAAAGATTGGTAGACTCAATAAAATGAATAACTCCAATCGATTGTCTAATTGTCTAATTTATATTGTCCAATTTCTCAAATGCTTTCTAAAATGTGTCAATTTTCAGTAGCTGCCATAATCTTATGCTCCTAATCTAGCGATTTTATTGTGTCAATTGACTTTATTAATCTAGCGATCCGTCTTTCCTTAATCAGCAGTGGGGTAGGTCATAGAAACTCGAACCTCACATTCATCGAAAAGTTTAAACCAATTAAACCCGAATTCCAATTGGTAAACTCAATAAAATGAATAGCTCCAATCGATTCACCGACCACGAAAACCCCCGGGTACAAGTTTGCAGCTGCAAATCTTCTTTTTCTACCATCTACAAAGCAAAAGAGAAATCCTTATGTAAATGACTGGCGAAGTGTTCTTTGTGCGGCTGTGTAACCGCCCATCATCTGGCGTACTCGTCCGGTATAAAATGCTTCCCTTTTGGATCTTTGTGCGCGTGTAATCACTCGCGACCTGGTAAACCCGTCCGATGGCTTCCCTTTTGGATCCCCAAAGGAAAGGAGCGGTGAGCGACTGACCCTCCCGCTTTCTAGGCGTCACTATCCTCAAATTCTTGAGATCAAATTTTACCTCAAATTTGGCTCTATTCTTGCCACAAGTTCTACACGATTCTAATCAATATCCAAGGCTGAAACAATCTGCAGAATCGATTTCCTCTCTTTTATACCCGATAAATTATTGATAAGCCAATTTACTCGAACAATTTTAATGAGAATCGGCTCCAATTCGGAGCCAACTCTCATCCCTTAACCATTCCCAGACTTGATTAGCTTCGTCAAAGAACTTCATCCAAGTTGCACTGATTCATCAATTTAAATTTCAAGTTCTCATTCAAAAAGTCTCCAACAAAAAGCGTGTTTTCGTTCGAATTGATTGAACGATCTTTTCTCTAGAGAATTGTCCTCTCTAGAATTGTTCGACATTGTTTTCAAAAACTTCCTATACAAAAATCCGCCCTCGAAAAGTCAAATTACTCATGTTTTGAATACTTTGAATGAGCTACGGAATCTTAAATTCCAAAAGAAATCCATACTTTGATAGAATCACCTCATTGAAACTCACCGAAACGGAAAATCGGCTTTGCGGGGGGAAAACGGGGATTACCAGTGTGAATCGATTGGCGATTTGAACCCGCAAAATCCGAATAACCCCCCAAATAATCCCGTGCATTTCACTCCCAAAAACATAGCAAAAACTTTTAGATTTATCGGGTTCAGCGCAAAATTTTCGGTAAAGCTCTGCGAAGGATTTGGCACCGCCCACTCCTACTGTACCCCCTTTCCACTCCACTCGCTGAGTCCCAGAAAGAGCTTTCTTTGTGGAAATCTTCTATATTTTATCTATTCAATCAAATGATGGCCTCTTTGCACCTTTCAGAGATGATCTACCTATCGGCTTTGCCGAAAGAGGAACAATTTGAGTTGAGCGATCTCCAGGATCCGCACTGTTCGCGAAACTCGCCGCTGCTCGCCTCGCTAATTGCGGCCAATCAGCCGAATGATCGTAAGCTCATTAAAGATTTTGTTCTCAATATTCCCTTTATTTTTTGCACTTAATTAACTTGTGCTAAAAAGCGCGAAATCTGCCGCCTAATTAGCGGCGATTTGTCATCGGCTTTCAAAGGGGTCACCCTGTTGGCGCTAATTTTCGGCTCAACGCTGCGAAAAAACGCTTTGCGCTTCTTTTTACTCTGTAATTTTCGTTGTTTACGTGCTTAAGGGTACGCAAGTGTTGCTTTGCGCTGCAAAAATCTAGCTTGGCAAATATAACTTGCAAAATACTGTATAAGATAAAGGGATGTAGTTAAAACAACACCGAATTACGCCGAAAACGTTCAAAGTAGCACCGTCAAAATTCTCAAAATCCAAAAAACTAAGCCGGTTCAACTTTTATTCCAAAATATTCCTTGCTTTCTTGGCTACATGATGGGTGAAACAGTTTTTTGAAAAGCTAATATTTCATAGAGAAAACCAGCTGCGATCTTCTGCCTAGAGGTACTGAGGGCACGTAGCACAAATCTGATTGCAGATTCGGATGCCTCGCCCCCGAAAACCCCCGAGTGCAAATTTTCAGCTTTCTAGCTCACTTCCTTGTAATTTTACGTTAACGTAATCTGTATTGTCGCGTAGGTGTGACAGACGGACGGACGGACGTTTTATTTTTTGTATCTAGTAGATTTTTAGCGTATAAAAACTTTTGGATCTGAAAAGTCCGGTTTCAAGGTTTATCTTTGACTTTTGAAACTCCTTACACAACTCTAAATGCGTAGGACATTTGATAGAGTGCCGTTTAGCAAAAACTGAAACCATATTCGGAATCAGCGTGAAATCCTGCGTCGAATCGTCCATGGCTCATGTCATTTTACCAGCCTATCCAATTGACTTTCTCTTGTCAATTAAACAACTGAGTATCACATTTTGAACGCTAATTTTATCTATGAAATAATAACTTTTTTAAAAAACTGTTTCACCCATCATGTAGCCAAGAAAGTAAGGAATTTTTTGAAATAAAACTTGAGCCGGCTTGGTTTTTGCATTGTGAGAAATTTGCCGGCGCTTTTTTGAACGTTTTCTCTTTGGCTACCTCTCAAGATAAACAAGTACATGAAGTTAGTTGGCCCTAAAAAGTTATTATGCCAAACGAAAGTTGTCTTTTTTGTAAGTTAAAAATGTCTGCTTGAAGTTGTATTTCTAACAGGGTTGGAGGTTTCTTTGTAAGATTAGATCGAAGCAGATCAAGTAAACTAGATCAAGCAGCTTTTCTTCCCTCAATCACATGCTGTATCGATTAGTAAAACCATTGCAAAATGGGTTTAAAATGCCGGCAGCCGGCAAGTAAATATATAGTAAACATATATACTTAAGTGTACAAACTACATATTTGGCTTTGAAATATTCTCTATCTTGTAATAAGTCTATTTTTAGAGCTGTGTTCTGTGTGCTCGCATGTGATCCTCGATCGATACGTGCTCTTCGTTGACCATCGGCCGTTTCATGCGCATTGTTTGAGGTAAGCACTTGAAATTTGAAAGACTAAAACTTAAAGTAAAGTTAAAAGGTAAAAGTTAAAGTTAAAGTTAATGTTAATGTTAAAGTTAAAAGTTAAAGTTAAAGAAAAGTTAAAACTCAATTGAATTGAACTTTTTATCATTGAAAGGCAAGCTATTGTAAAAGTTTTTTCCAGGCAATTATTGTAAAAGTTTACACAGAAGTTGACACAGAAGCCAACCTAACATACTAACTATAGACCCCACCGTACGTACCCCCCGTACTCCCAAGCGCCCGTACTTTCAAAAAGTGCGTCTTTGGTATCAAAAAATAGCTGAAATTCGGCTATTTTTGTATCTAGGTGCGTAGCTTAAACCAGTGTCAAGAAAAACTCGTTCAAAGCTAGGCTATGCAACACTCCGCACCGACATTTTGGGGGTGGGGTACTATTACAGTATTTACGGAACTAACCTAACTTTCAAAAGCAAATTGATAGACGAGACTTCCCACCAAAGAAAGCACAAGCAATCAAACACTTTAAGTCAATCTGTAGCCATTGTTTTTGTTAGTTTAGATATCAGTTCAAGTTTTTTAGCAATCGAAATTGAGGCCCTGACTCATAATCAGTAACATTTTTATTAAGAATCAATCTTTTATGAAGAATAAGAACTCTCATTCCAACTTTGGCCAAAAAAAATTCATTCAAATTCATTTATTCAGTGAAATTCATCGTACATCCCTTCTTTTCATCCAATTTTCATTTTCACATTCCAGATGTTCTTTGTGTGAATGCGATTTGAGCATTGATTCCACCTGCTACTTCAAGGATGGATTTCTCCTTTGTAAACGAGATTATTACAGGTGAAGAGGAGGGTCGGGAGAAAGAGAAAGAGATAGAGAGAATCGGGGAATCCATTATGTACTCATTCGGGGAAATTCGACATCACCTTTCAACAATTTTTGGAATATAGAGTGATGTAGAGGGGTTGAGCTGTTGAATCGAGAAATTGTACCTGGGTACAGGGATTTTAAAGCAGCCGTTTTAAGCAGGGGTACGTCGCGTTATTCTTGGAGTCAATTTTTTTTGGTTCGGTCAGGTCAAACTAAATCTAATCAAAATGGCTTTAGTTTAGTTTGAGTTTTGCCATGGCTAAGCTAGCCATGACTTTTGGGCTTTGAAACAATCTGAATCTGAATTGAACTGAATTCTTCAAGCCTTAAAAATAAATCCAAAACCCAGAAACATGACTTGAAACCACTTTTAACTCTGACACTTAAATGAGCAGCAGAATGCAGTGTACCAGAAACGCTGTGCTTACATTTTTTAGCTCAAAGAATGCCGACGAGAACCTCGTGACTAATTTCTCTAATCTTTAGAAAATATCGAACCACTTGCGCGAAATGCTCGCATCCAATCGTCGAATCGGACTTGGTGATGAGAGCTCGAGATGTCCCTTTCCATATGACGTGTTTCTCGTGTTCTCTGTGTGGATGTCATCTACAAACTGGGGAAATCTTCACGATGAATCCGGCCGGGGATCTTTTTTGTAGATGTAAGTTGTGATTTTTGTTTTTTCTGTAACTTTGTGGTTTTATGCAAGTTTTTTGTAGACTTTATCTTTAACCTGAGATTCAGGATAGAACTAGAAAGACATCCATGCTGAATCGATTCTTTTGAAGATTTATAATGTAGTCTAGAAAGTCTTTTTGAAAGTTTTTTACAAAGCTAGGTCTTTTTGCGATCCGCATGTGTAAAAATGGTGTTCTTTAGAAGAAAACCAATAGGTTTTTAATTTCTTCAAGCTGATTCATTGAACTTTCGTCATATAAGTTGAAATTTTAAATGAAGATGAAGATAAAGTAGGGTTTTTTTTGTTATCTTTTTAAGTAGTTATGCATTAAGTCACTAGGCATCATTTGGGACAGAAAGTGATCATATTTTCTCATGTAGAAACGAGAGATTTGATTTGTCGATCATGTTGTCTCATGGAGATTTTGAAAAAGCTTTCTGATGTACATCTGGATATTCTTAAAAGTTAAAAAGAAAACAAAGCTTGGTTTTTGATGGGGAAATGGCAAAATCTTGACTATCTTGATTAATACATTTGCGACGACGGCATTTTGGGGGTACAGTCGCGTAGTCGTTAATTGTTTCCTAATAATTTGGTGAAGATTCAAAGAAAAACTATTATACAAGGTGACGCACCATTACCCGCACTCAGTTCAAATTCATTCAAATCACATTTTGAAATTTGATCCCTAATCGAAATTCATTGTTTTCTAGTAAAAAAGAGCTAGTTTTTGGAAATAATAAGTAAAAAGGAGTAAATGAAGCTGGTTTTCTTTGATTTTGAGGCATGGAAACTAGTTACAAAAACCAGAAAATCGCAATTCCGCCGCAGGAACGCAGGAAGGAAAAGAAATGCGTGTCGCAACTTTGCAGCGCTCTAGCAAAAGTTTAGAAACAAAATTGGGTCGGTTGATTGACTCTGGAGAAGCTGGAGAATCTGAACTGAGTGCGGGTAATTGTGCGCCACCGTGTAGTCATTCGAAATCTCCTCTTGAATCTCCCGAAATCTCCTGAATCTCCTCTTGAAAACTAGCAAAAAGTCACCGAGATCTTTCTCCGAAATTAACAAAATCCTTAAAAATTTGAGTTGACGCAAAAAATCATCGTCATTAGTACGACCACTTGTGGGCCGTATCGTCGTGAATATGTTACTTCATTACCATAATCTTTTAGTACACTGTGACACCCCGATCATCTCGCAAGCCCTCCCCACCCAACCCCCACCGCCAATCGATGATCCGATTCGGAAAGAAGAACTCAACATCGATCTCGAGAAACAACCCCATTCACAACAACAACTCCTCTCCCAAATTCATCAACAAGGTCCGTTTTTTATTCGTTTTTTTCTAAAACCTGATCGTCGATCACAAAAGGATTACCAGGGATTAGAGGAAAATGCGCTTGAACCATAAAATTTATCGTTGCACGAAAAAAAGTTTGAGCTTCCGGGTATCGATCGGGTCAAGAGAAATTTGAGTTTGAGATAGAATGAAGCTAATGAGATAGAATAAAGTTTAATTCAATGAAATAAACACCAAGATTAGTCGAGCAACTCATTGAATCAAGGCTCATGATTCGACAACTTCCATAAAGACTTGCAACTTTACCGAGCGCCAAGCGGCCGCTTTAAAGCATTCCTCGGCTACCGTAAGATCGATATTTATAGATTTTCACTTTCTCTAAGTTTACGATACGGTATCCAAGGTGCTAACCATTTGAGTTGCTAAAAATTGGCTAGTTGAGCAATGGGTTACGGTGATGAGTCATCTATCCGAATCGGAGTTGAAGAAAGTTAGAAGTTTATAAAGTCTGCAAGCTCATGGCTTGCAGGCTTTATGAACCGGGATACAAAGGATCCAAAAAACAAGCTATACTTAGCAACTATTTAGTTATCTTTTTAAAGCTTTATCTCAGATTTACCCATATGCTTTCTGTTGTCCACATCCCCTTTGCCTCAAATCCCCTTTGCTTGCTCATAATCTAACATCAAGGCGGGGAAATCCCGGAGAGTCATAGAGAGGCGCCTATAGAAAATATGAAGGGGTTTGGCCAATTAGAGTTTTCTCTTCCTCTCTTTCTTCAAAATCCCGAGGGTGGCTTCTCATTACTTTTACCGTAATCCTCTCCATCCCGGGCCTTCTCGGATTCCCAGATGGATACCTAGGTTGAAAGGAAAGGGAAATCGATCCTTCCCTCTGAATTTATAACTGAAACTTTTGCAGGAGAAGAGAAGGGATTTGCAATTATTTGAATGCATGAAGGGGAAATGATGCAAAGATAAGAATCAAAGAAGCGAAACTTTTCCATTTCCAGGCTTTGACAACGACGACAACCCACAGAACCCGCGCTCGAAACGAATGCGCACCAGCTTTAAACATCATCAATTGAGAACGATGAAGACTTATTTCAATCTGAATCACAATCCCGATTCAAAAGATTTAAAGCAATTGGCAATCAAGACCGGATTGTCGAAGAGAGTTTTGCAGGTAGAAAAAAAGGGTAATTGTAAAGTGTTTGTGCTAATAGTACACTGCTGGACATAAATTTACGATCATCCCATTTTTCAGGAACTTTTTAAGAAAAATGACACTCCATCAAAAAACAGATTCTAAATAGTATTTACGGTACTTCTTATCCCCGCAAATCTTATCCCAGCAAATCTTATCCCCGCAAATTTATGCAATTTGAGTTTTAGCTTAAATTTGCATATCGATTCGAAATATCGATTCACAAAGGCACTTGGCTCGAAGGCTCTATGCAAAAATAAAATTTTCTAAACACTTTCGGAAACACCTTACTTTCCTAGTAGCTTACTTTCCTAGTAGCTTACTTTCCTAGTAGCTTACTTTCCCCTAGTTGTAGTAAGAATGTGGGCCGGGGATGGCAGATCACGTGGTTCCCCAGGGCACCTACGGTAAGCCAATAAAAAAAAACAGGGTTTGACGCAGGTCACTTCCCGGCCGCGCATCACGGGCAGCACGAGCGTCGCCTTGGTTCGCAAATTTGATTCCCCTCAATTCGGTATGCAAATTTAAGCTAAAAGTTCAAATTGCATAAATTTAAGATAAGATTTACAAGTACCGTATTTACAATTATAATTGATGTAAGAAGACAGGAGAAAACCTGAGCGTTTGAGCAGTTTTTTGAAAAAACAACATTGATTGAAAAACCGCTTCTGGCAAGTGGTCATAATTTTTACGACCAATTGAGCAATTAACTAAAAAATAGCAAAATAAGTGAGCTAAACTTTCAAAAGAACAAATGAATAATTAAATTGAGCCTCCCGAACGCTGAATCACTTGAAAAACTCTGTTTTCTATGCTTAAAACGAGGTTTCCGATGAGTTTTTGATTCACAGTATGCCAAGTTGCAACAATCGGTTTCTTGAGTTGCAACAATCGCTTTCTTGAGTTGCAACAATCGCTTTCTTGAGTTGCAAAAGTCGCTTTCTTGAGTTGCAAGAATCGCTTTCTTTGCTTCACGTCTGCATACGTTCGATTATTAGCGTAAATTTTGCGAACCCCAAACGTTTTCTTATGGATTCAAATCGGGGCGAATACGATTTAAAGTATGATTTTTGATGGGATGTCATTTTTTTTAAAAAGCTGCTGAAAAATGGGATGATCGTAACGATGTCCAGCAGGCAGCTAACAGCTAACATTAACAGTCAATCTACTAAAGCAATTGTTCAAGCTATTTGCAAATTCTTCAGGTTTGGTTCCAAAACGCTCGGGCCAAGTACAGACGATCGATGAATTTGAGGGACAATCAGAACGTTTCCCCTGGGGATATTTTCAGCGGATTGGATGGAAGTCAACCGGTAATTTTACTTTTGAAATTTGAGAACTAATGCTATCGATCTTCAAAGAGTAGAGAAAACAACTTACCTACTTGTTTAACATTGAATCGAGTCTTTTGTGTTGAGATTTTAAGTTAGAAGGCTTAAATTCAACACAAAAGACATTGTTAATCATTGTTAAAGGCAAAAGGGATTCGAAAGCTCTAAATGCTGTGACTCTAAATATTGTGACTCTAAATACTAAAATAGCTCTCGTACTGTTTTATAAGTTCTAAATTTCTAGGTGGGTTCAATGAGTTCTGGATCGCTCTCCGTGTCACCCCATTCCCCGTACGCCAACATGCAAGGAGTTGGTGATTTCACTCAAACTCATCTCGTTCAACAAACTCATCAACAACTTGTCTCGAACACTGTTGCCACATCAACTGAAAGTGTTGTTCCACCAATTTCTTTGTGAATAGGTTGAGATTAAGGCACGGAAATCTTGCCAGGGCGAAAATTTGTCCACGTTTTGAGCCCAAAAACCTGTCCCACACATTTTTCTCATTCCAGTAAGCCAACCAAAAAGGATACTTTAATTTAATAGATATTCAGCACTGGCTACCTGCTTTTTGCTTTTTGGTTTGATAAACTGTACAGGGTGCGTCATAATTACCCGGAAATTAGGCATATAAACCACGAAAGGGTTTTTTCATGCAAACATACATTTTAGTTACTTTTATTTAAATATAAAAAACGACTTTTAAAATAATCTACTCTTTTTAAACTACAAACAACTCTTTTTTCAAACAAACTACAAACAACTCTTTCCCCAAACAAACTACAAACTACAAAAAGCTCTTTCCTCTTTTAACTTTGATAAGAGCTTCAAGACGTTCATGGTAGGCCTCGACTGTAGGATTTGTGGCTAAAACAAAGCTGTGGCTTTGTGGGATTTCTTTCCATGCTTGGATCAAGGCTTTCTTTAAGCTTTCCCAACTAGTGTGATTTTGAGAGCAGGCCTTGTCTTATAAAATTGCCAAAATGGAAGAGTCCATCACATTGAGATCTGCGGAGTTGGGCGGCCATTCATTTGCCGCAATCAAGCTCGGGAAGTTGGCCTTGCATCAGGCCTGTACTCCTTTGGCTGTGTATGCAGGTGTAACATCTTGCGTATAAGTCCAAGGTTGTCCGCTGTTCAAGGAAGAACGCCTTTCTTCAATATCTCGCTCAAATTTGGGTGGTGGTGAGAGACAGATTTGCTTTCGCAATCGCGAGCTTACCTGTAATTTTGAAAATTTTAACTGCAAAAACTAATTAAAACATTGAAAAGAATATATTGACATGGAAAAGTAAAGAAAAAAATGGTACAAAATGGCCGATTTGAAATGCAACAACTTTGTCCGGATAATTATGACACACCCTGTAGTGGGACATGCTATTGAGACTTTAGTTTTCTCCAATTTTTTCCTTGTCTTATCCATTTAGGTCTAAAATAAGCCAAATTTAGCCCTTTCTTCAAGATTCAGACATTTTAGATCAAATTTATCAACTGAAAACTGATTAGCTCTTTTCTTTTGAAAGAAAATCAGTTCTTTAGTTCTTTAGCTGAATATCTTTCCTCCATAAACTCTTGCCCTTTATAAATTCCTCCTTTTCTGCTCAAAGTCAAAGTTTTCTTATTGTTTCTTGTTGTTTCTTTTACGTGCCAAATTCTCAAAGCGTTTCCAGAATTTTGATGGCATTTTGCAATTTTCTGAGCCAACATTTCCCCATGAACAGGTAAACGGCAATAAAAAGTTGTCCTAGTCAATTAGCATACCCGAATTTTGCATATTATAACTCTTTTTTTCTAGTCAATTTCGTTAATTTTGTACATTTTTATTGTGCAAATGAGGGCGTTTCGCAAAATAAAATTTTTTTTGAGCACAAAAATACAAAATGAAAATTGCAAAAAATTTACAAAAGAGTAATGGAAATTTTGAAGAAATTGATAAAAATGATAATCCTTCATAAGCGTTAAAAGTCTTCAACTTCAAAAGCTCACCTTTTTTAGCAACTCAATCTGTAAACTGGTCAAACTCCACAAAATCTTTAAAACAAATTTGAGATGTAATCTTTTGTGAGTACCTCTTTTTCTTTTTAATATTTCATTGGTCGATCAGTCCACCTCTTGGCATCTGTCAATCATCATCAAATCAACTTTCATATTAGAATGAATCAGCCAAAAAGCATGTGACTCTTAATCTTTAATTTAAAACTTTTAAACTGTTTAAAGAATTAAAACCGTTTAAAGAATTAAAGCTCGTTTTTACATTTCTGTAATTAAAAAGTGAGTAGTTTCTTTTGTTTAAGTTTATGTTTAAGTTTAAGAAATTTTAAATTAAGAAACACCAAAGGGACGAAAAATTTCTTAGTCATTTTGCTAAAAATCATCGAATTTGAGAAAAAACATGAAGCGTAGAATTTTGTTGGATTAGTCAGACGGTCAAGTTTCAATTGCAGGCTCCATTACAGGCTCCATTACAGGCAAAGATATAAATATAACTTATATTCAATCTAGAATGGATATTCAGTCCAGAAGAGCTGGATTACCGTATTTAGGCCACTTAGGGTATTCAATGGCTCGTATGGCTTAGAAAATTGATTGGAGGCTTTTCATCGAGAGATTAAAGAAAAGCGAATAAGAAACGGAGCGATAAAATCCAAAACCCCTGTTTGGAACAATGAAAATTTTAGTGAATCCCGGTAGAAATGCATTTTGTGAGTGGCAACGGGTTGGAGATGAGGCGGATTGGGCACTGGCCGGGGATTTCCATAGGATGTCAAAATTGAAAGCAAAAGTTGACACTAGTTTTGCGGATTTTGAATAATTAAATTGTTTCTGAATTGTCGATTTTCGCTTTTTGGCTATTTTAATTAACGATTTTGACTTTCAAATTAAAAATTTTGGCATTGCCAAACTCTCAACGTGATTCATTTTAAATGCCGCCAAAAGTGTGTGATAAAATTTCGAAATTTTATTCGAGTACATAGAATAGATACAATTTTTACATATATTTAGCTGAATTGTGTTTTAAGAGCTGTATTTAAGAGCTCATTATCCAACTCCTGTGTAGTTTCCCTGGCACATGATCGAGTTGATGGCAACGGTGACGCCGTTGGCTGTGTATGTCCATTTCGATTGATTCGAGCAGATCAATTGAGCGCGAATGTACGTCGTATTTTGAATACTTCCCGAGTTTCCGTTGTTGAACTGAAATTTTTGAATGATAGAAGCAGATCGTGGCATTTTCTCTGTCTTTGATTCATAATGTCTCTGATTTTATGAGCCGAGTTTCCATCCGGACCGTTGTTTTATTAAACTAGCAAAATTTTATGTGTTAATCAATACAAAATCAATCAATTTAGTGGTTCCCCCAAAATTTCTGTGACTTCAAAACTCACCGTAATCGAGGCGGGAAGTTTGGGGAACATTTGAGCGACACAACAAGTTCTTCCTCACACAGCCATTTGCCTGTCTTAAAATTGTATTAGGGTTTAGGGTTTTCCATAAGTTCTTGCGTCGCGGTTCTTAAATTTGCGATTTCTTAAAAACTTTCAGCCAACATTTTCATCGGAAATTCTTATTAAATAATCTTTGCCCAACTAGGGATCGTTGTTTATTTACCGTCGAATTTCGACGTAGCGCCTAGCCTATTTTGTAGCAAATTTTTCGCTGATTCCGAATGCTAGGTCGTTTTTGTGTAATGGGTTTAAATTTTCAATTTAAACCCGTTTGAAGTTTGTGTGCGAAAAAAAGCAGTTTTTTGCGGTATTTATCTGACGATCAATGACGATGAAGATCAAGCGATCTTGCGTCTCTCGAAGAAATGTCGTCGTGGCGAAGTGGTTGGTGCGTCAAGCTCTCAACTATACAAGGTTTCGGATCGGGTTTTTTCGCATTGCGTCGGATCGGATCTGGTCCGAATTTCATTTTTTGAATCGGGTCGGATCTGATCCGTTTTCGGATCGTATCGGATCGGATTGGATCCGAAAAATGATCAAAATCACCAAATGCTCTGCAATCCTTTACTAAAAAACGTTTATGGCTAAGTTTGTTGTGTGTTTTACTCATCTATTGAGATTTGTTTAGTTTTTAGCAATCCACCTAATATTTGTATTACTTAGGTCGGATCAGGATCAGGTCGAATCGGATGGGATCGAATCGCGATCCGATTCGATCCGATCTGATCTGATCCGATCCGCTCCGATCCGATCCGATCCTTTCGATCTGATCCGATCCGATCCGTTCCGATCTTTTCCGATCCGATCCGATCCGTATTTCACTGTGTGTTTTACTCTTTGTAAGCTCGCTTAGCTCTATAGAAACACTAATGAAAGAACAGGATCCAGAACATTTTTAGGAGGATTGGTCAACCGGATACAATTGAACTTAAATTAGCTCTTTTCATTTATCTTTTTTTAGTAAAAGTATGGAAATTTTCTCTCAAATTGGCCCTCAAAATAAAGCCAAATACATGCTGTACACTTGGTCGAACAGTCATATCTTATTCTCTCGATTGAACCAAACAATCCTCATCAAAGTTTGTCCACTAGTTAGCATAAACTTATAGATTATTCAGTAGAGATTTCAGATGAAACTGTTGACTGGAAGTTTTTAAGAAATCACAAATTCAACAACCGCAAGAACCTATGGACAACCCTTATGGCCAAATTTGAGTTTTCCTTACTTGACAATGACATTCTGCGAGAAAGCCGTGACATATTGACCGGTCATGATCACTGTCGGGGTTTTGGGACCACAACGGGCACAAGCTGAAATTTCATGTGTTAGAAAGGGGAAACTAGAATACAAAGTCTATCAATTTTTTGAGCAATTTTCACCAACTGAACAAATACATTTTGCTTGAACAAGGACTCTTGGACAAGTTCTTAGAACCAAAGAATCCAGGCGTATGTTGATATCTTTTTAAACACTAACAGCACTCCAAAAATTCCAGAGATTCAATGAAATAGTTGTCGCGAATAGCCACTAAAAGTTTCCTAAGTCTGAAAATTGGAAAATTATTGAGGAAATCCGTGCGTCTTCATTCTATTTTGCGCTCCAAATCATTGTTGTTTTGCAGCTCGTTAGCTGAAAATCTTCTGTTTAAAGCCTATATAAGGTAACTGTTATTCATTTGCCTTTTTCATTTTTGTGTGAAATTTTGGGTGCAATTTTGGACGAAATTGTTTTCTGTTCATCGTCTCCTTTAATTCAATTGTCGATTTGTGCGAACATTGCTCAAATGAGGGCTCAAAATGCCGAGTCGGTCGGCTATTTAAATAAAGAATGTAGTTTTTTAGTTCAAGTGAGTGAAAATTCCTTTAGGTAACAATTTATTCCAAACAATAAACACCATCGTTGTCTATAACATCCCTCCAACTTTGCTTCAGATTGCGGATCCCCTTATCGAAGAACTCTTGATTCTATGATTGAAAGTAGTCGGTCACCCAAATTTCGACCTCTTTTGCCTTCTTAAACTGGCAATTCGCAAGGGAATGCTTCATCGATCTGGAGGTGAAAATCAGATGGTGACAAGTCTGAACTATATGGCGCATGCTGTAGACCATCCATCCTAATTTCTCTAACTCCATACAAGAAGCTTTCGCCGTGTGAGCTGGCGCATTGTCACGAAGAAAATTGACAGTCGAGAGGTTTCAACCCTTTTGACGGAAAATTTGGTCAACCTTCTTGAGCTGTTGAACAAAACAAGGTGCGTAATCTTTTTTGCCGGGCTCTAATAATTGGAAATAAAGAAGTCCGTTGATATTTCACCAACAAGACAACATCACTTTGTGTCCATGATAGCCCGGCTTTGGAGTTGGAATTGGCATTTGACCCTTGCTGAGCCATTGTCTTTTTCGATAAGTTTTATCGAAGTGAATCCACTTCTCATCCATCGTCAAGATATTCTCAAAAAATGGCTTCTTTTCGACTTGAGAAGCAAGATATGGCTGATCGAAACGCGTGCTCCCAGATTCTCGGTGTTCAATTGATGTGGAACCCATCGTCCATTACGATTGGTTCCGATTATTTCCAAATGACAGACAATTGTTGGTTGATCACATTGGAGATGTTTGGCAAGCTCTTGTGTTGTTTGCATTGGATCGGCTTCAACAAGTTGTTCCAATTCATTCTTATCGATCGTTGCCGAGCGATGCCCATGTGGTTCGTCTTTAAGAGGTTCAATACCTTCCCGGAATCGGGCAAACCAGAGCTGGCAGGATCTTTCGGTCATAACTTGTTCTCCAAAAGCGGAACAGAGATCACGATGTGATTCGTCAGCGTTTTTGCCCATCTTGAAATCGTAGAGAAGACACGCGCGCACAATATACTTTTAATCCATCATCATCTAAAGCAAATATAAATTAAAAAGTGAAAGCTCTGACTCAGAAAAAGCGTAGAAATCAACTAAATATCCTAGAGTACAAATATACGAAAGAAAATCAAATAAGATTTCCAGAGTAAAAAAATAGAACATTTTATATCGAAAGAAATTTCTTTTCCATCAACTTAGTAAATGTGCAGCAGATTCTCGGCGACGACAATGGCTGCCGAGAAAAACAAATGGAAAACGCCAGCAAAAGCACGATGACGATGAGTATCTTTTAGCGTTTTCGGGGATTTTCGGAATCGGCTCTGGCTGACACACACAAATATCCACAGACATACTCTCTCTCATATAATAAGCAAAAGATAGAACATTTTATACTGAACAAAATTTCTTTTGCATCAATCTAGTAGATAGATTTTCAAATAGGCATTGGGGGAACTTATCCCTAAAAATTCTACGCCTTTACCTTTTAGGATCCCAGTGGTTCCATAGAAAAGAGTGAGGGCGAAAACGAGGCCAAGAATACGGTACATAGAAGATCGATCTTTTGAGAGAATGCGAATGTGTTCCCATCCAGACCATAACCATTTTATAAAAGAAATCGAGACAAAACAAGTTTTTCATTGACCGAACCTAGTGCTGACCAAAAAAGCTGACGAAAATAGCCCTTGCCATTGTTCACGTTTTGAATGTTCGTCAGTTATTGCCGAAATTTTCTCAAATAGCTTTTCATCGCATGGTCAAAAACATTTTAGAACATCAAAAATCGTCAAGAGAAACAGGTATTTGAATTTTTTGGCTAAAGCGAAAGATCTACAAAAATAAGTGTCGTTTTCTGAACTTGTAACGCAGTTCTCATCAGATTTGAAACGCTAAACTGGGTAAAAACATCTCCTGTGGGTGTGCATTTTCTTTCCAAAACTTTAAACTTTGAAATTTTGAAAGCTCTCAATCATTTTGCCAAAACATTTTTTATTTTTGATCAAACTCATTGAAAGTATGCATAAGACATACAGTACTGGACAATGAAATATCATATTTGAAAAACGATCGTCACCTTCGCGCGTCTGTAACTCCCTTGTCTTTGAGTTTAAACTATTAGTGTTATACATTTTCTGAAAACTCTTTTCAAGGGCTACACAATGGTAATATTAATATTTAGAAATACGGTAAAGAAAAAGGGAGTTACAGACGTGCGAAAGTGACGATCTTTTTTCAATATGATATTTCATTGTCCAGTAGTGTACATTAGGTATAAGAAATGCGGCTTTCAACATTTTCATAAATTTCCAACGATAGAAACCTGATGTCGACGAATGTTATAAACAATTTGAAAGTTGTAAATCTCCTCTACAAAATCGGCTAAAACGTGTTTCAATTGGTCGAACCATTGAAGAAATTTCGAGGGCGAAATGCGAGTGACCAAAAAAGGAATCGAGTCACTTTAGGGACAAGTTTAGTGTGGTCAAAATAGAGTTAACTTCCCAAAATTGAAGATTTAAAAAAAAAGGATAACTATATATCAATTCATTTAAAAAGTCTAACGGAAATGCATTTACAGAAATTTAGATAGAGCGTAAGTTCAAAACCCTCAAAATTGTCCAAAAATCGGCTTTTTCGCAAAAAAGGAAAATTATTGTAAAAACAAATGAAATGAAACGATCCCGACTCTTAATTATTTTGAATGATATTTTAGGGCGGTCATTTTCCACTATATAGTCAAAACAGAACTCTTGTGAAAGTGGGGTTTTCAAAAAGGGCACTTTTTTTACCTAAAGTCACTCGATTCCTTTTTTGGTCACTCGCATTTCGCCCTCGAAATTTCTTCAATGATTCGATCAATTGAAACACGTTTTAGCCTATTTTGTAGAGGAGATTTACAACTTTCAAATAGTCTATAACATTCATCGCTATCAGGCTTCTATCGTTGGAAATTTATGAAAATGTTGAAATCCGCACTTCTCATGCATGTACCTAATAGCAATTAGTTCGCAAGAGATTGATGAATGAGCGTGGATTAAGTGGGTCGGAGATGGCTCATCACAAACCCTGGTGACAATAGATTAGAGTCCGACTCTGCCGCCGAAAACGGCTCAAAAGCAAAAACTCAAAAATTCGATTAATTTTCAAGGGGAATGTAGCTTCAAAAGTTGTTTTGATTTCTGACTTTTAATCATGAAACGATTGCAAGTTGACTTTAATCAAATATTTGAGAGGATGTCGTATGAGATTTCCGAAATGGTGTCTATGTCAAGGATTTTGAGAGCAATGAACCGAAGAACTACACAGCTCAGTGTTACATGATGTATCGTCATATTTGATCATTTTACTCTTTTAGTCGTGTAAGCGATAAAAAGCGTATCATTTTAAGCACCACTCTACAGTTTTAAGTTTCAGACTCACTTTTGTTTGTCGTTATAATGCTTTTTCTCCTTTTATATATAATAGTAAGGGTTTTTTAAATTTTCCATCTTTCTTGTTTTTCATCTCAAATACCTAATCCCGAACTAGAAATCATTTCGTTTGATCACCTAGCATTTCTAATCTTATTTTTCTTATTATTGCGATCGATAAAGTTTAAATAACAGGATAACGAGTTGCAATTCAAGAATAACCTAGATGCAATTCAAGAATAAACTAGACAGGATAAGGACAAAAACAAGGCCGAGAGAAAGAGAAAACCTGAACATCCACTGAATGTGGTAACAAACGAGGTATCGTTTGCGCTGGCAATGCTCTGCTATCGCTTGGTCCTATCCATACCTATTACTTTTCAGATTTTTTACACCTCTTATAAAACATTTTATACACCTCTTGTAAAAAGGACAAAGTTTGGCTAAAAGATGCCGATTGAAAGCAAAAATGAACTTGGAAGCAAAAACTTGGAAGTTCTTTCAAACAAAAACAAACGGCGCCTCTTATCAGCTTGTTGTCTCCACGGGGAAAATTTTTTGAAAGAAAACCTCAGATTTGACCCATTCCCTTATCGGTTGTTTGTGAAAATAAGAAAAAAAAGCGATGGTTTATTTTAAATTTTTACGAAAAAACAGACACTTGACCTAATTTTTATCAGTTGGGCCAAAAGTGAGCAACCGACCGAATTTAGCCAACACCGAGAAGATAGAGTTTTTCAGACCTCGTCAAGCTTTTCAAAAACAAATGACACGTTCTATTACTTTCATTTTCTACTATTTTACAACTTTGATAGGTAGACGTTACTGTATTATAACTAAAATTTGCATATACTTTAGCACTTTCTGTCGCTTCTTGTCCAAAGGGCGGCATCCTCGACGCCGAAGAGGGAAGCTGCCTTTTTGCGGTGAAATTTGAGGACACTTTTCAGAATGCTCAAGATTATTGCTCAAAGTTTTACTGTATTAATGACTTATCGAACAGAAACTATAGTTACTACGGTAATTTGATCTCGATACAAAGCGCCGACGCCAACGAGAAGGTTCTTTCTCTAAGCAAGATATTTGCCAATGTAAGTTAGATTTTATCATACCCGTGACCCATTATCATGTTAATTGTCGACAAGAATAAATTTAGAACACAAAGTTTGCCTGGCTGGGTGGAAAGTATGATGGCACGAAAATTACATGGATCGACGAAACACCGGCAGAGTTTAGCAATCTGCAAGAGGGTGAGTTATACCTCTCCATGATAAAGACCTCTCTATGATAAAGAAGTAAAAGAATTGGCAAGAAAAAGCAAATTTCCGGAGAGGAGATTGATCCGCCATTAACCGATTATTAGTGCCGAGCTAGGTCTGCCGAGCTAGGTCTGCCGAGCTAGGTCTGCCGAGCTAGGTCTGCCGAGCTAGGTCTGCCGAGCTAGGTCTGCCGAGCTAGGTCTGCCGAGCTAGGTCTGCCGAGCTAGGTCTGCCGAGCTAGGTCTGCCGAGCTAGGTCTGCCGAGCTAGGTCTGCCGAGCTAGGTCTGCCGAGCTAGGTCTGCCGAGCTAGGTCTGCCGAGCTAGGTCTGCCGAGCTAGGTCTGCCGAGCTAGGTCTGCCGAGCTAGGTCTGCCGAGCTAGGTCTGCCGAGCTAGGTCTGCCGAGCTAGGTCTGCCGAGCTAGGTCTGCCGAGCTAGGTCTGCCGAGCTAGGTCTGCCGAGCTAGGTCTGCCGAGCTAGGTCTGCCGAGCTAGGTCTGCCGAGCTAGGTCTGCCGAGCTAGGTCTGCCGAGCTAGGTCTGCCGAGCTAGGTCTGCCATAGGGGAGCAAGTCCGTTGGAACTTTGGCACCCTGGGACTTCCTTGATATTAAAGTGATTGTGTTCCTGTCCTTGACCGTGGGAAACCTGGGACTTTGTTTTCCCCGTACACACCAGCAAGGCTGGACGAAGAGCCGATTTCCCAGGTCAAGCCAAGCAAGGCCAAACCTTCAGATTTTGCACTTTTTCATGTGGTCCCTCACATGAATTTTTTTCAAATGACCCCAAAATCCAAGCCAAACGAAGCCCAAAGCCAAGAAAAGCTTGGTTTTTTGGCTTTCTGGGTCCAGCTCTGCATACCAGCAAAGAAGGGCGCCACGTAGTGGCTACCAGCGTACTTAAGTGAATTTTGTAACTATACGTAGAAACTAGCTTTTTTAGCTCTTTCTATGAAGGAGAAATGTTTTAGCCTTAGACGACGAGTCTTTTGCAGGAGTGCCAGCCGGATATCTCCTTCTGAATTTGACGAGTGGCAAATGGACGACAGCCAATTGGAATGGGCTCTTTCCATTCGTATGTCGGACACAAGTAAGATCTAAACTGAATGCTAATCAAGTGCAAAGTTTTAAAAGGTTTTGACATGGACTAAACAAATCTATTAAGGATGCAAGTACCGAGCCGCCCAGCTGCCCACCGTATGCGCCTTGTCCAACAGATTGGGTCTACTCACAATCGTTGAAGTTTTGCTACAAAGTGACAACGTTAAATCTTAAATATTTTCAAAAAAAGCCTTAAATAAAGCCTTAGCCTATGAGCCTTTAAAGACAAAAATATAACAATTTAGTATGATTTTTCTATCAGGTGATTTTCAACGTCGACTTTACGGAAGGCGATCAGAATTGTCGATTGATGAATTCGTTTCTGACATCGATTCATTCGGACACAGAGAATCGTTTTGTTAATGGTTAGTGTTTTTACAATTTTATGATTTAAAAAAACAAATATTTTGTAGACTTGGGCAAATCAGGAAGCCCTCAAACGGCTTGGCAACAACATCCGTTGATCGGTGGCAAACGGGTGACTTTTTAAAAATCCTATTGGGCTGCGGAGTATGAAATGGTATGAATCCTATTATCCTATTCGGCTGCGGAGTATGAAAACAAAATCACAATAATCACCCGGGACACCACTCAAAACACACCCAAAAGATAAATAGATACCTCAAGAACGAATCACAGGGCAGTCAAATCAATTGCCGAAATTGCGGCTTTAAATCTAGCCAAGGTGGGAATATCACGAAGATGACAGGGTTAAAGGTTTCACAATTTAATAACTCGATTAAAAAAGAAACTGTGGGGCCTTTTAGAGGAAACGGAAGGTTGGCGTATGAGAAAAGGCCCCCTTCTGGAGGCGCTAGAGAGTCGAATTCAAAGAGACCAGAAAAAAGGGGGTCGGGATGAATGCCTTTAACAATTTTAAAGCATTCCACTAAGCAGAAGCTAAGCTTCTAGAATCAGAAGCTAATATGCTTTTGTAAAAACTTATGTTAGCGTCTGATTCCTAATTCCGAACTTTAATATTTTTGTGCTATCAAATTTGCCTTAATGCAGCTCGTTGTTTTTCAAATTCCCATTGATATTCTGCAAGTCACGAACTCTAGAACCCACTTTTGGCATCTTTCAGTAGCAAAGCTGTACAGTTAGCCGTAAATGGTATAACCGAACTTCAAAATTTCTCGTTCGAACGTCCGAAAAAAATGTTCAAAACGTTCCTTCAATAATAAGCGATGACTTCGTCTTTTCGGCATTTCATACTTTGAAATCATCTATAATAGCAGTCTCGTTTCCCACGTGATTTCGAAACGCTCGCCTCTTGTTCAACTTTGTCCAAACCACTCAAACGATTGTCATCTTACAATGACCTCTCTGGAAAGTGACTACAGTTTAAATAAATGCATATTACGAGCCCAGAATCGACTCGACCCGAAAAAATTGGAAATAAATGACTAGAAAGGCAAACTATTGGGTTGGAGAGTCCGAAATGGCGCCGACTTTCCAAGAAACTTCTATAACATCGAGTATTCTTTTTCAAATGACACGCGGGTAGTATCATTAGAAAGGTCACTTATTTCTCTACAAAATCCTATTTGAAATAAAACTCAAAAAGCGTCCCAATTCAGTAAGCATAAACAGATAAGCACATCTGACAGATAAGCATAAACAAATTGACTTTCTTTTTCAGACGGGTCCCGGGAAAACGGATTGGATGTGGGTGGACGGGACGCCGTTCAACTACTCGATTTGGGCTGATAACCAGCCGGACAACAGTCAAGGCAATGAATGGTGTTTGCAGGTGGAGTAGTCCGCGTGATTAATCATGAAAAAAACCCAAACTACCTGTATGTCTAGAAAAAACAATGACAGCTTTAGACAATCGCCGATCTGTTCCCGAACGCGTATCCAAAATCGGAGCAATACCTCTATAAATGGAATGATTTCCCCTGTGAGGCTCGATATCGAGTGGCAATTTGCAAGCAGCCGGCAAAATACTGAACGAGTTATTTTTGCATTACTACTTGCAAATAAAATTCTCCCTAATTTGAAACTTTTATCAGCTTTTGGTTTTCCGTTAGGATATGTTTTGGCCCTGTTGTTCGTATTAATTCCAACAACTCCGAAATAGGCGCACCCGCTATTTTGTCACAAAATTTATAAATTTTGTTAGTTAGTAGTCAAGTTAGTTAGTAGTTAGAAAAATCTTGGCAATTAAAGCTACAAGATCTTTCGCGATTGCTTAATAAGACACAATTATGAGAATAATATTTAGATGATATTTGAAAGAGCGTATAACTTTTGCAATCAGTTAGCCGTGATACCGATTGCGACACAAACACCAGAAGAAGCATCAACAGAATTGTTTTGCCAATTCCGTTGTGAGGTTTTTTTGAGTATCCTATAGGCAATCATTCAACAACCGGAGTCACTTTCTTGCTGTATACGAATACACGCCGAATACGAATCGAGTCAAATTCGGCAGTAGTGGAATGGGGAGTTACGTGCTGCTATTAAATCTTAAAACACCAGAAGAAGCATCAACAGAACTGTTTTGCCAATCATACTTCCGTTTTCAGGTTTTTTTGAGTATCCTATAGGCAATCCTTTAACAGCTCGAGTCACTTCCTTGTTGTATACGAATCGAGTCAAATTCGGCAGTAGTGGAATGGGGAGCCACGTGCTGCTATTAAATCTTACACAGTTTGACATAAACAAAAAAAATTCATTATTCAGGCAACACATCTAGAGAGATCGGTTAGACATCGGCTCCAATGCGAACCGGTGAATCGATACAAGAATTCCAAAATAGCGAACCGATTCCAAAAAAATACTTTGCTAATTTAACAGCCCTAATATTAAATATTCATTGCAGAAGGTGCACTTCAAGTATCTCTTCTTTTTTTTCTTAGACAATTTATTCCATTGATTCAAAAAGCTCCTAGTTAATACCTTATGTCTGACAGCGATAAGCGATTTCGAGAAGCGAAGGTCGGGGCAAAGAACAAAACAAAGTCGTAGTCGTAAGTTGATAAGTCGTAGTCGTAGAAGAAGCAAAACGAAAAAAGCAACAACAGGCGTCTAAGCTTGTCCATTCTACATGTGGACTTTTATATTGTGTTTCTTTTTTAATTTCTCAAAATCGATCAAAGAATTCAATTTAACGGTCGACGATCCATCGGATGCAATTCACGGCTGGGATTTGTATGATTATGGGGTAAATGAAATGTATCAGCTAGATTTACGTCTAAATTTGAACGATTTAAGATTGTCTGGTCAAAACCGAACCGATTTCTTTTGTTTAGCTTGTGGAATTGGTGAAGAAGTTTTTCTAAATTGCATTTATTTACCATCACCGTAACGTAACCAACATAAACAGGACCTTTCAAAAAAAAGTCACTTTAGCGCGATTTTTCTCAGAATTTCTAGTGGCACTTTATTTGAACCAAACCGGTAAAACGATCAACGAAAACGATCGTAAAACGTATTTAAGTTTCGATTTAAAAACACCAAAATTCTATTGGAATAGAACACCTAGAATACCGGAATTTTGCGAGAAATTCACCGAGAACAACGCCAAATACTTTGGTTAATTTGCTTAATTTAAAAAATAATTGTTGTACAACAAAAGTTGAAAAAACGGCATGAACTTATTCGTAAACCGAATAAAAATAGCTAATGCTAAAAAGCTCAAAAGCGTTCCCATAAAAAACTGATTGGAATCTACTAAAAGAAAGGCTTTTTATTCTGTTTACATAAAATCTCTCAAAAAAATTGAACAAGATCAAGAATTATTCGCGATAATGCTAATGGCCACGATAATTATGATAATTTTTATGATAACAAAAGCCGTCCAAAAGATGATTCGAGGACGGCTACAGCGATTTGCCGGGACTAAAAATGTTTTGTGTAATGAACAAACTTTGTCAACAAACCTTCAACCACTCTATTCACAACGATCACTCTTGGAGGCCCCTGAAGTTTCAAATACTTTAATCAAATACCAACGAAAACCAACCTGTTGCTGTTGTTGTTCGTTTTGTGCCCGTCTTACAGCTTCGAGTGTCACTGGATCGAGGGTTTGCTGAAGGAGATGCTTTATGTTATAGCTTTTGGTATTTTAAAACTCAAAGGAAAGGCACAAACTACCCGTAAGCTTTCGTCTTCGGACCGCATAAATCTTACTAAATCGAGAATAGAAATTCATAATCTGACGTCAAAATCGCCTCTTGCGTAAGGTCCGGGTATTTTGAACGAATCTTCACGCTTTGAAGACCATAACCTCTTCCGGAAATAGTATTATTACTACCTTTTTATATCATTGTACAGAGACTAGTCCAGGGTTTCAAATGATACCAAATATGGCTTGATTGGATAATCCAGTCCAAGAAAATCAGGGCCAACGCTGAGCAAATGAGGCCTGCCCAACTCGGATGTTGTGTCACCTGGTTTGTATGGGAATAAAAAAATCCAATCAAGCTCTATTTAGTCTTATTTGAAAGCCTGAAATATTCTCTATACAATGATATAAAAAGTTAGCAAAATAGTATCTCTGGACAAGGTTATAAGCCTTCAAAGCGTGACGACTCGTTCAAAATACCCGGAAATTACGCAATAGAAAAATTTTTTTTAGAAAAAGGAATAAAAATGTTTTAGAAGAAGATTCAATTGGGGTTGAGTTAAGTGAGGATCCGGTGAAGGCGCAGCAATTACCCGCGGCACACTCCGCACCTTCACCTGAGCAGTCTTATGAGCAGTGATTTATCGTGGAAATTTCATACATTTCAAAAAGTTTCGACTCGACCCTGCTTTACATTCTTTAATTTACATTTATTTTATGAAATTGCAAAACCTGCGAAACGATTTGTGTCGTCGCCATTGGTGGTGGTGGTTGATCATAACGATGAACCTCTTTGGCTAAATTTTAAATTTTAAATAGTTTCACTACTTTACTCAAATAGAATCGGACTCAAATTTCTAAATTTTTCTGTTTCCTTCAAACCGACTTGCTTGCAAATACGATGGTGGTGCTTCTGTCATTGTGAAACGGAAGAAAATCGATGGTCTGCTCAAAATTTAATGTTTGCAGAGTGATTTCAGAAAGTGACTTGGACCTTTTTTCCAAGAAAGAGCGGACCTTATCAGAAGCTTTAATGCTTTTCTTTTGCGCAAAAAAAAACAACTTGATATCAAGTGAAAAAGGCGAGGAAAGAGGGGGGAGAGTTCGGTGAAAGTGAAGAAGTGAATCATTCTGATGAATTGGAGTGAAACGTTAGCCTAATTTTGTAGGTTGGCATTCCCGTTAGCGTAATTCCGTTTTTTTTGGGAGAGGTTCTTAAACTCAACCAATGTACATGCGTTATGGCTCATTCGAAAGTCAAATTCAAGAAGGAAAAAAAGGGGAAAACCGTTTTTGAATTCATACAGTTTGGAAGTTTTTACAGGCGTTTTAGAGAGCTCAATCAGATCCGAAAAAGTCCCGAAATTGCGTTTCGATAGTTTTTTGTTTGGCAACATAGGCTGAAAACATATTATTCGTACTCAGCACATTAAATTACCCTTAGAAACTAATTTTTGAGATTTTTAGAAAAAAAATCAAAATTTTTGTTGCAAGCCGGAATCGAACCTTGGGCTTTTGGGTAATAGTCGTCGCGCCGTTTTTTGCCCGTTTTCTTTGCTTTCTTCCTTTTTTGGTTCTTTTTCTTCCTATTTGTCGTTTGATATTGTTATTTTTTTAGATAGAAGATGCAGACAAAGGAAGAAAGCAAAGAAAATGGGCAAAAAACGGCGCGACGACTACTACCCAAGGGGGCGAGGGTTCGATTCCGGCTCGTAACAAAAATTTTACATTTTTTGCAAAAATCTCAAAAATTAGTTTCTAAGGGTAATTTAATGTGCTGAGTACGAATAACATGTTTTCAGCCTATGTTGCCAAATAAAAAACTATCGAAACGCAATTTCGGGACTTTTTCGGATCTGATTGAGCTCTCTAAAACGCCTGTAAAAACTTCCAAACTGTATGAATTCAAAAACGGTTTTCCCCTTTTTTCCTTCTTGAATTTGGCTTTCGAATGAGCCATAACGCATGTACATTGGTTGAGTTTAAGAACCTCTCCCAAAAAAAAACGGACAGAACTTGATCCATCTCACAACTTATTTCAAGCCAAGGTACTCGTTTTTTTGATCTGTAATGGCTTTAGTTTGTTCAATAAATTTGAGACTTAAATTGAAGTTAAAAACCTAGAAAATTACGCTAACATTTCACTCCAGTTCAGCAGAATGATTCACTTCTTCACTTTCACCGAACTCTCCCCCTCTCCTTTTTCACTTGATATCAAGTTGTTTTTTTTGCGCAAAAGAAAAGCATTAAAGCTTCTGATAAGGTCTGATCTTTTTTGGGAAAAAGGTCCAAGTCACTTTCTGAAATCACTTTGCAAACATTAAATTCTGAGCAGACCATCGATTTTCAAGACAAGACGTTTCTTCCTACGCAATAGATACCTTGCATTAACATCCCTTCTACGAACGAACGATGATTTGAGAGTTATCTTTGTTAAGAGTTATCTCATCTTTTCTTTCTGGAATGGTCAAACTTTTTTTAGAAATTCATCTCTCACCTCATAATCAGTTCTCCAGGACCAACTGAGCACTTCATGTTTCACAGCCACGTTTTTTTTCCAAACAGTTTTTGTACTGTTTCAAAACAGTTTTGTTCAACTTCTTTGAACATTTTCTTAGAGAGTCCAATCGATTATCGTTTTGTTTTTTTGTTATATTTATCCCGATCCATAAACTTTCTTGTGAAGTGACTTGGAAACAAATAGAGATATCAAAATGAGAAAAGTGAACTGTTAAACAAAAAAGAAAGAGACAAAGCCAACAGTAGAGCAATTTGTATTGAGAAAAACAAAACTTGTTAAAGTGATAAGCAAAGCTCGGTAGCCAAAATCACTAAGAAGCTTTGTAAAAGATGATAGATGTCTCTTCCCTTTTGTAGACTTGGTACAGTAACGCCATCGACATAACTCGATTTCGATCTCGTAGCCGTTACCCTCAAAAAGCAACCATCTTCCTGTTCAAAATCGCCCTCTTGCGACCAGAAAATCTGTAAATTATTAGAGTTTTTCTGAATTTTATTTAAACAAACAATTTTCTTAATCATTGAGATCACCTACAGTTAGAAGTTGAGCTCGCGGTACCATGTGATTCCAAGGCATCGGTGGCGCTTTGTCGGCGGTGAGACTAATGGTAAGAGATCAATCATGTTTTTAATGTAAAGAAACTTTGAATATCTATGTATTAGGTTGGAAAGAAAGTTCTCGGAAAGAATTTGACTGGAGTTTCTTAAAAACGAATCCACCAATTCGGCAACATTTTTTCTATTATTTACAAGTCGACTCCAAGAAATTACTCGTATTGGGTTGGCGAGAATGAGTCGGAATTTAAAGAAACTTTTTGCACCCATAAAACCTTCTTTAAATACACGTTTTGTTTCATCAAAATGGTCTACTATTTCTTTACAAAATGGCTTTTGAGAGATTCCACAAAGCTTTTCTTTTTGGGATTTTATGGATTCCCAGACACAGCTAATCAAAATGACAAAAAGTCCGACTCATTGCTCGAACAGTTTCTTCCACATAAACCTCCTTTGGTGTTTATATAAAAAAGATAGAGCACACTCAATTACATAAGTTACCAAATTTTCAGGAAGATCCCTCCAACCGTTTACTCTAGATGACAGTTTATCGATTTTGTGAAAAAATGATCCTTTGTTGAGTTGAGGCGCTGTTTGAGTTCTCTTTTAAATATTATTTTGTAGAGAATTAGTTACCCTTCTACGGATATCAAACGCATATCATTTGACAAAGTCTGCTATAAGTTTTAAAAATTTCTTTGATTTTCGGCGCCGACTCATTCTCCCCAACCCAATAAATAAAATGTGTGCAGCTTTCCCGTAAAATTTTAGAGCTTTTTGAAAAATTATTATTTTCCAGCTTGAATTCAGCTCACTTTTTGTACCAGAAAAACTTCATGAGTTAAAGCTAGTATAAATGAGCTAGCATTTATCTAAACTTTAACTCAATGTTGTGATGCAGCTTCTTTAGCCCGTACCTTACAAATGAGCCACCTGATAGCTACAGGCCACCTTTTTGCACAAGACAAACTATTCTTTATGAGGCAAAGCTAGCATAAATGAGCAATACGCTCTATGATCTCTATTTTTGGACAAAATTTTTTTGACGAAGAAGCTGTATTTCAAAAAATAAATTTTTGATGTCATCTTCTTGGCACTGAGTGCTTGCTAAGTTCTCTGAAAAGCTCATTGCCCAAGACCCATTGCCTACCCATTAACCCATTAAAAACTTGTCTAAATGCTGGTCACTCAACAAAGTGATCAAGTCACTTCAGCTGAAGAAATCTCCTTTTTTTTACCTGAAGCCCACTCTAATTTTTTTGTCAAAAACTTTTTGAAATATAGTCAAGTTTATCAAAAAATCTGGAAAGAATTCATGGCTTGGTTTTCGAGAAATCATCGTGCAAACTTTTCCCGCGAACTTTCTTGCCAACCTAAGATATTGCAAAATCAATTGCTATAATTTTAAACGTTTTCTTCCGACCTTATATTAGGTTGAACCGAATGAAATCGCTGTTTTCTACATAACAACTTTATTCCTAAAATACTGTAACAAATAAAAATTATTCCAAAAGATATTCTTCGATGATATTCAAAAGATAGATATTCTTTCGATGGTCTCTCTCCATTTTTCATTCTAATCTCGAATCCCATTCTTGAAAAACTGGAGTGTTTTACCATCAAAGTATTGGCGCACCCAGATTGGGATATCATCGTGGTTTTTGAACTTGTTCTCAACCAAAGAGTGTTGCATGGATCGAAATAAATGGTAATCCGTAGGGGCGAGATCTGGGAAATCCGACGGGTAAGGGAGAGATTTCCAACCCAGATCCTCGAGTTTCTCTTGAGTCAACTTTGCGATGTGTGGGCGTGCGTCATCTTGAAGGTAACGTGGGCGTGCGTCATCTTGAAGGTAACGGACTTTGCCCGAATTGGTCCCCTACTGGCAAAGTGCTTGATTGACTCGATCAATTTGTTGAACATAGAGTTCAGAATTCACTGTTTGTCCGTGATTGAACACCTCAAAATGTACAAGTCCCTTTGTATCACAAGTATCTTTGTACCAAACACATAATATTGTCTTCTTTCCCTACAGGTTCACCTTTGAAGTCGTTACAAGAGATTCCCTTACACTGAGCCACTGTCGTTTCCTGTTGAGATTCTCGTACAAAATCCATTTTTGAATCCCTGCACCCACTTTTCTTTGACTTTCAAAGGAATATTCCAGCCAGTTTCTTCCTACCTTCCTACAGTTTCCTCCTACAGTTTTCTTCCTACCTTATATTTCCAAGCAGTCCGTTCATCTGGTCGAAAAAGTCGAGCGACAAACGGCCACTCAGCAACTCGACCACCTCGACGCTGACATCGATTGGGTATCTTTCTAGAGCAAAGGATATTTTATAAGGTTGTTGTCTACCACTGTCTAATGTCTGCTTACCACAATATATTTCAGCCGATAGTTCCGCGAGTGGTTCATTCCAATTCAAATAGTCAAACGATGACTTGTACTGTGCTGTAGTGATCACGACGGTGCCCGAGCAAAGCTCTTGCGTTTGGCTATCCATCCCTAAAGAATAAAAGTTTAATCTATAAAACCAAAATAGAAATAAAGTAAGCTCACATGCGTAGATTTTATGTGGCACGACAGCGATGGCCGGCGTGCAACCGGGCGGCACGTGGATACTGTAGACGCTAGCCAAGAGGTACTGCCCGACAAATGGGACTCGATCACTAAATTTTATAATCAGTTTAACAAAAGAATGTATGTTAAGGTCTTTCGGCTATCGATACTTTTAATATTTTCCGCATTTTCTACTCACTCCTAAACCTTCCGCAGGAAACAACACACTATATTGGCTTTAGTCTTTAAGCTGGTTCCAAACCGCCTTTCAAACTTGTCTGGTTCAGAAGGCACGCTTTTAAGTAAATCTATTAAGAACAGTGTGTAGCTAAACATATACCCATCAAACAAACATCTTTCCAATCAAAAGATATCCGTTAAATGAACCCCCAAAAACATGGCGCTTTTCACTTGGCTGCCAAAGGTTAAATTCTATTTTGTGCGCACATTTCTAGCTTGCACTCGATTCTGTCACATTCTTTTCCAACTTGGCCAAAATTTAATGTTTTCAGAGTCTTTTCGTGACCCTTCAACTTCCTCGCATGCTTTTGCCGTGCTTTTCAATTTCTTGTTTCACATAGAGCGCCTTTCGCAATATCAACGATAAATCTTATAAAATTTGTCGGTTTCTGTCAACAAAAGTCATCCTCGATTCATTTTTTTTTGTAAAAAGACTCTGGAGAAGCTTTAAAACATTGTTTATTATCAATTTTATTGTTTGCCGGTAGCAAGCGGTGGCAGGCCTATAAGCAATCTTTCGGATGCGATCTGCAGAGGGATTGCCCACAGGGCAGCTGGGATTTGACGCGAACCACTGAAACTCCAAAGGATACACCCCAACTATACCTGAAGGTCCATAACTTTCGATCGCTCTTGTGCAAATCGAGAAGCGGTGGGCCAATCACGAACGCGTACTCACAGCTGCCATTTCCTCGGTCCTAAAAAAGACTTGTATTTGTAAAGAGTTAGAACTTGTATGACACTAGCAGTTGAACTCTTCTTACCCATCGAAACTTTTGCAAGACGTAGTAGATCTTCGAGAAGAATGGAATGCTGAGAACGAGCCATGTCGGCTCGTCAGAACGGGTCACTCTGAGCGTAAAGCTGTCAAGCTGCTCTAGTACGACCATGAGTTGAACGTTTGGCTTTGCTAAAAACTGCTTTAGTGTTTTGTTCTGATTCACACATCAATAAGATTTTCGTAAAAAATCGAGTACTAAATCACTCGCCCTCACCTGTCCATGATTCGACACTAAAAATTAGGCTGCTCCGTTGGAGATTCTGACCAGCAGAGTACGTCAAAATGGTCAACGGGCCTCGGATACGCGTTTGGCATTGCACTGAGGTGATATTATTCTTCTCATCATACCTAAGCAGTTTTTTTGTTTACCTCTAGTTTGTTTTTGCCATAGTCATGTCTCAGCTGGAATCGGTGGCATTTTCCGCGGTTTTCGAGACAAAAATAAAGGTTTGACTAAGAGTTCCGTGAATTCTTAATCATTAGGAACTGTTTTGGGAAAACTCTCGGTTCCATTCTCAGAAAAAACTAAGTTTGGACAAAAACCGGGTCCACGGGCCGAGCAAAAAACATGTTGGCTTTAGCTAACCCTGCTCCTCCACCCACCTCCACGTGCAATTCTCGACCTGAGGCAGCTGAGAGTTGATGTTAAGCGGCAAAAACTCCACGCAGCCCTCATTCATTCCGCCCTACAATAGGTGATAAAAGTCAGCAATGTTGGCTCAATCAAAGTTTTCTTTATGTGCTCGCTCTACCCTAATACTATTCTTCGCTGACTCCTTCCTCCCATTGTCAGTCGTTAGCCATTCCATACTTATACACTCTCAAAATGATCTTAAAAGCATGATTTTTGAGTCAAATTCAGAGCAAACTATTTCCAAACAAACCCAGTAATCATCACTGCACAACTGCGTGTATTCGATCGAATAGAAACAGTTCTCGCAGTTTTCGGCCGTCACGCAAATCGGATAAGATAAGCCTTGAATTTACAGCAATTTATAGAAAGACTATGAAAAAGCCTTGGATTTATAGAAAGACAAAAAATATTATATAGAAAATAATGGAAAACTCTGCAAAGACAACTTTTATAAGCGAAACTGTAGCCGTCGACGATCAGAAACGGATTTGCCTCGGTGAGTGTACTCGTTTTGCCGCATGTCAGATTTGTGCTGGTGATGTTTGAATTGATTTTTGCGGTGACGAGAAAGCCTTGGATTCGATCGAAATCTTTGTCTGGGTACCAGTTGAACTAAAAATTATTAGTCTATGGATAATCTATGGATAAATTTAACTAAACCTCAAAGCAAAGCCCAAAAAGTTTGAGTGTTTCCGGTTGAGAGATCGAGGAGAAGCTAAGGGTGCATTTAGTTTTCGTTAGAGTGTTTTCCTCTCAAGTATTGCACTTTTTAAAAGGTTTTTAAAAAACTGCCTCATTTGCCTTTATACAGGGTGACCAGAAAATAAGTGAAATTTCGTAAAAAGTCATTTTTTTACGCACCATGGACGTTAATTCTTCAAATTAACTTTAAATTCAGAAAATTCGCATATTTTTACTTTAGGACATTGATTTTTTAAGACCGAAGTTAACTTTGAACAACTTTCCGATACGATTCTTTTAAGGCTGTCACGGCTTTGACCTCTGACATTTTGTCAATTTTTAACTCCGATTTCCCACCGTGAAATTGCTTGAAAATCTTTTGTTTTTCAGTTATTCCTTTGGTTTACCGCTTATTTTGTAGAAAACTCTTAACTCTCCAAAATAACATTCAACACTTTTCCAAAAAGAACTTTTGCAAAAATTTTTCTGACTTTTCAACTATCAAAAGGGTTGACGACCAACAGAAGCCTGCGAACTGAATGCCTGTTTTGTTTGATTTTAAAGTTAATCACCCCTATTATGACATTTTTAATAGTAAAAAAGTAATAGTAAAAAGTCTTTTATAGTAAAAAAGGTTTTTAATAATGGGTTGGGGAGAATGAGTCGGCGCCGAAAATCAAAGAAATTTCTAAAACTTATAGCAGACTTTGTCAAATGATATGCGTTTGATATCCGTAGAAGGGTAACTAATTCTCTACAAAATAATATTTAAAAGAGAACTCAAACAGCGCCTCAACTCAACAAAGGATCATTTTTTCACAAAATCGATAAACTGTCATCTAGAGTAAACGGTTGGAGGGATCTTCCTGAAAATTTGGTAACTTATGTAATTGAGTGTGCTCTATCTTTTTTATATAAACACCAAAGGAGGTTTATGTGGAAGAAACTGTTCAAGCAATGAGTCGGACTTTTTGTCATTTTGATTAGCTGTGTCTGGGAATCCATAAAATCCCAAAAAAGAAAAGCTTTGTGGAATCTCTCAAAAGCCATTTTGTAAAGAAATAGTAGACCATTTTGATGAAACAAAACGTGTATTTAAAGAAGGTTTTATGGGTGCAAAAAAGTTTCTTTAAATTTCGGTGCCTACTCATTCTCCCCAACCCAATAAGTTTAATAAGTTTAATTTCATTAATAAAGCTTTTGAAACTATGGAAAATATCTTTGGCACAAATTTCGAATGACCGTTGCACAAAAATTTCACGTATTTTCTGATCACCCTTTACATGAAACCATTCAATGAAGAATCGCAATGCTCACTCAATGCTACCAAAACGAGCCAATTGGGTAAAAGGAAACAGTTTGTTTACGGTAGTTGTTTACGGTAGTTTCCGAGTTTTCACCTTACAAAAAAGTGGAATTACTTGAGAGGAATACACCCTGGTCACAGCTATTGCAAAGCTACTTTCTAGACATACTTCCTTTTAAAGTAACCTAAAACTTTGTATTGGATTCTCAAAGGGGCAATCCACGGAGAATGGATTGGGGAATGGTGAGTGGAGGTTGATCTCCAAACGGCCGCCTTCAACAGAGAGAATGGTGATTTCGGTCTCGAACATTCCAAAGGCAGTCTAGAGAAAATATAGTTGTAATAAAAAAAATTATGGTGCAAAGTCATGAGTTATTATAGCCTCAAAAAGAAAGATTGGTCGAACTAAGAAACACATTCAGGATAATGTTCAAAAAGAAACCTCTTTAATACCCAAAGAAACCGCAGTAACTATTGAAAAGAAAGTTGAAGATGATCGAAAAATTGATGAGGAAAAGGGTGATGGAGAGATGGGTGAAGAGGGGAGAAAGTGAGCTATTAAAGGAGGGGGGAAAGTGAGTTGATCAAGTAGATAATCAAGTAGATCAAGTAGATAATCAAGTAGACCAAGTAGAAATCAGTAGGAAAACTTTTGTAGAGTCTTATCTTGCCGATCCGTTTTTAGTTGTTTAAAACCAACTCACAGATTGATGCGAATAGTGATAGGTTGCATTGTTTTGATGATTCGGATAATCTGCAAGCGTCCATGGGTAGCCAAAACTATTGATGAAGGTCGAAGCCGAGTAGTCCAACGCGTTGCCCAATACGATCGAATCGTACGGCAAGACTCCTAAAAGCGTTGTTTTAAAATACATACCTATCTAATCTTACTATTAGATTTGAAAAAGATCACCTATTTTCCCTAGGTAACCTAACAAGCTAGAATACCGGACAAAAGTCTGTCAACCCCGTGCCGGCACAAGCTCTATAACATAATCTTTATCCTTTTAAAATACAGCGTTTTTGATGAGCACCTCAAAATGCACGATTCCCTTTGTACCCCACCAAACACATAACATTGTCCTTCTTTCCGTTCTTTCCACCTTTGAAGTCGTTACAGGAGATTCCCCTACACTGAGCCACTGTCGTTTCCAGTTGAGATTCTCGTACAAAATCCATTTTTCGTCAGATCACGCAAAGTAAGGTGTCAAAAAACATCATTTTCAAAAGCGGATTCCATAGGGTTTTCAATACTCAAATCGTTCCAAAACAGATTTTTTTAGAAAGCTTGTACAAAATTACCCTAAAAAAGTGGGTTTTAGCTGGTTGTAGCAGGTTTTCATTCAGAGAGCTAAAACCGATCAAAATTCAAAAATGATTCAAAAGGTTATCCAACAAAATATTATCGAGTTTTTTGTTTGCGTTTATTTTAACTTTCATTACTATTTCTTTTTTGTTTTCTTTATGAGTGTTTCTCAATGTTCGATAAATTTTAGATCCAAATAATGACTTCAATGAGTCTTCAAGTGAGCCTAGTCGAGCGACTTTGCCTCTCTGAGCGAAAACCTGTTAGAACCATATAAAATCCACTTTTTAGGGTAATTTTTTACGAGCTTTCTAAAAAAATGTGTTTTAGAATGATTTGGGCATTGAAAACCTAGGGAATCCGCTTTTGAAAGTGATGCTTTTGACACGTCACTTTGCGTGATCTGAAATGCATCAAAACGCTGTATTTTAAAAAAGATAATAGATGTATATTGTAGAGCTTGAATTGAGCTATCAGAAAATATGCGGTGATTGGTGTTCTGGGGTTTTCTTGCGGTTATATGTCTAAAAATAGGGTTGAAAGTAGGGTGCCGTCACGGGGTTGGCAGACTTTTGTCCGGTACTGTATGTCTCACCATCGATTTCGAAAACAAAGCCCAAACAAAACGAGCATCGTTCAGCCGTGTAGATGATGTTGATCGGCGAGCGAGAGAAGAGTAAGTTCGATGGACTGCAATTTGAAAATATATTAGCAAATAGGAATAAATAGGATAGCATTTTGTTAAAACATAGGTACTTATTGGTTAGCTTCACAGACAATTTACATTTTAGAGATTTGTACTTTCAACCAATTGATAAGTAAAGTCTTGGTCTTGGAAGGGACAAATCAAAGCCCAACACAATAAGTGTCAAGTATAAATCATAGATATCAGATAAATATCAATTTTCGAGCCAACTCACCCTCTATAAACTGAGTTGCCAAGTTTGCTCGAGTTGGCCGCGTTTATCGAGCCAATGTCGATCGTGTAGATGGTGTCCTGTGTGCAAGAGGCGTCAACCTATGCAAAAGTGATTTAAAAACACAAATAAAATTTATAAGCGTTTGCTGTAGTATAACTATTTCTTTGTCTACTATAAACTAATTTCAAGAAAATCCAAACCAAAAAGTTTTTGCCACAAATCGTTTGTGTGGGTTGCTGCCCATAGGTCAAGTCCAAGTACAACGGGTACAGCCCAAAGATAGGGGTTCTTGTCGATCTAAAAAAAATATTGAAAGGGACTTGGTGATTATTTTGTCGACTCATTTTTCTAACCACAAAACTCTGCGGCTTAAGCCTGATCGGTGAATCGATCTACAGGGTGTCCCAAAAGTTCAGGCACAACTTTTTGTAAAAGCAATTAGTAAGTGGCTAACTTATTTCAAATTATTAAGTGTTATATAGAGATTTGAAGCCCGGAATCTTCGCTACATTTACATACCAAAAGCTTTCGAATTGGAATCGCACAACTTATCTGACAAGTTTTTTCGTGAGCACCACTCGGTTTCTTTCCGGCACGCTGCCATTTTTGACGATTTTCTTTGTAAAAATTTTTTTTAAAAGAGCTTCTTTATTATTTATTTCATCATAATATAACATTTATTATTATTTAAGAATAATAAGAATAAAATCCAACTGTTTTGTCAAACTTTCCTAACCAAAATTCAATTTGATTTTAAGTTCATTTTGAAGCTCAAGGAAAAAAGCGAAAATTGAGCGTTTTTTGATGTTCAATTTGAATCCGGATTTTGATATATGTGCTGCTCTAGCTCTATAAATTCATTGAACTTAATTTTTTGAACAAGAATAACACAAAATTTTTTTGGGGAAGCCTTTCTGAACGAAAAATCATCAAAAATGGAGAGACGGGAAAGAAACCGAGTA